GGCAACCCGCTCCAGTATTCTTGCCTGGGAAATCCCATGAACAGAGGAGCCTGGAGGGCTGCAGGCCATGGGGTTGCAAGAGTTGAATACCACCTAGCAATAGAAAAACAACAACAAATACATATAAAGACATACTGATTTTATTAAGTTTTTAGTGATTCCTCTTTCTCCCATACTTGACATAACCTTGTGTTTTGTTTGACTGGTACATACTTCTGTGTTATATGATCTGGGAAACTCAAATATCATACTAAGTTTAAGAATTCAGTGAGTGTTATCTGCATTTCCGTTAATCCTCACTGTTTCTGCTGAAGTCCTTCCGGAACATGAACTTGTTCTTTCACTAACCAAATAACATAATTTGTATACTGTGTTCATGTTCCATTGGTCATCTCATAAGAAATACCTATTTAATAAGCTCAGGATCGAGAATTTGATTATTTCTATTCAGTGTTTTGCCCTTTTCCCCTTGTGCTGTGTAGACTGTGTTTTATGTAATGTATATTACAAATCATATATGCACTTTGAATATGACATTGAGTATACAGTTATTCATTTCAGTTCAGATTTCCTTTGTATTTTATATTAAACTTTTATTGTTAGTGTAATGCCTTTATGCTTTTGAAAGTCATCCTCTAAATTAGATTCCCTTTAGTATTCCAAGTGGGTTTATCTTATCTGTTAATTTTTTTTTTCACTTTGATCAGCATAGATTTGAGTTCTCATCTCTTTTAGTGTATGCCTGCTAGGTACTAAGACCTGTAAAAGTATGCATACATAGATTCACTCTCCACTCTACAATATCCTTGAATTATAATTTGTGGTAAAGTACTTTTTATAGCATATAAAATGAAAATGTAAAGTTTAAATCACTCTAAAATAGCTTTGAAAGCTAAAGCTGTATAAGTAAAACTCAATAGAAGAATAGGACACGTGTGTGCTTTCTAGAACTCACATCGAGTGTCTCTAAGTCTCTGGCATGATTCTGGGAGTAACGTAACAACATGCTGAACAGGAAGTGTTGAAGTCCCCTTTTACAGATGAGGTCTGTCAGGCCTTGCATCTCTTTCTCCTGAATCACAGTGCCGCTTTTGTCTAGCAGTGGTTCTCAGCCTAGTGGTGTCCCTCTGTTAGGAATGGTTTTGGTTCTCACAGTGACAGGAGGTTACTACTGACATCGATTAGGCAGGGGCCAGAGATGTGATACACCAGATAGTCTTACATCACAAGAATTTTTCTGCCCCTATTTAGAAACATAGAGCTAGTAGCTCTGTGCCTTTTCAGTCCTGTCTCAAAGGTGATGAGAGGTTAACCATGCAAGCACATTTGTGAGTTGTACTATGGATTGTTATTACTGTTACTTTTTTTTTTAACTGTTTTTCTTTTATATTTACAATACTTTAAGGGAAATGCCCTAATGTTCTTCTGTCAGGTCCCCTGAGGGGAATAATAAAGAGATGGTATTCTTGTTTTGAAAAGTTGATTGATCTGAAATCATTAGTTTAGTAATAGATGCAGTAATTAGAATTTAAATTCACTGCTCTTTGAACGGTAATAATTTACTCAAGCATATGAAATCTCATTACAGTTGAACCCGATATCTTTATGGTACAAAAGTACTTTTCATCTGAGATGTAGAGATGAGACATATTTGAAATAAAGAGACTTTTAAAAAGTTGTACAAAGTGTAAGATCTCATAAATCTTGACTTCTTTTATCCAGCAATATCATTGAATATTTTTGTCTTTCTCCTTATATATTAATGGAAAGACCTTTTCAGGTAATCTCACTAATTGATAACCAGGGACAAATGTTGAGCTGTTTAACTGTCATAACTGTACAACAACATACCTCCAAGTAAATAGATATTTATAAATAATGTGACAATTTTGGAAATGTACTCAGGGCTATTCAAAGAGATTTGAAAGTTCATTGTTCTTTGAAAAGAGAATTGCAGGATTGCAAAGTTAGTTTTAGTTTTCTTTGATCCTGTGACTTGCATTGTATGCATGTTTAGCTTCCCAAACTTAACTGTGTTGGTTTGCAGCCCCCTCCATTTTATTTTTCCTGAAAACTTGGTCTGCTATCCACTGAGTGAACTCTGTGTGCTGTCTCACAATTTCAGGTCCCGTTTCTCTTACAGAGTGTGAATATATCCCCACACTGAGTGTAATTGTTCACAGTATCCATATTTTAAACATGGCCCTACATATACCAGCCATCAACATAGCAGTTTTGCTTCAGTAATTGAGGAGAAGTTGCCCGTATTGCACATACTTGAGAGATGGCAGGATATGTGCTCCAACAGGAACTCCCTAGCAAGGAAAATTGATTAACCGCCATGTTTGCCTTTTATCCTGACTTTGGAAACCCAGAAAACAATATGCTTCCTTTACATTTTACAGTGGTGTGATTTACACTGTGGCCATTTATCACATCTAAGTTAAGAGCATTATTTGGGGCTGGAAAAGGTGAGGGAGAGTTCTTTCCTTGTTCTCATCTGTATCCTTGATCCCGCCTATCTTTTTGTTTTTTCCACCCCAAGGTAAGGAAAAGTGTGGATGAGTCTTACAGATTGCTTTCAAATACGAAAATGGGGTTTGAGGAAGGGTTTTGAGAGACATCAGGATTTAACTGATTGGTAGTGGAATCTGTTGGTAGTCCCCTCTAAAGGCACATGCAGATTTTATCTTAGCAGGCATTTTTATAAAATACTTCATCTTGTGTGTACCATCGGTCTCTTTCTTCACATCCTGTCCTTCTCGCCACACTTCTTATTGTGCATTTTTCCCTTACCATGCAAGTTTCAGAAATAAATTTTGTGAGAGCATGTACATTTTCCACACGGGAAGCAAACTCAGTGGAAGATGCAGAAGTTGGTAACAAATAGAGCTTTATAGTGAAGATTATTTAGTTATTCAAAATACTAATTATTGTACAACAGTGAAAAGTAGTGTTTGTTCCATTTGGCTCAGTGACTTTTTCTTGAGCATCGGCCGTGTTGAAGGCATAGCGCCTAAATGACGAGAGTGGTGTGGGGCGAGAGGATAGACAGGGACCCCCTCCTAAAGCTGTTTTTTCTCTGAAGCCTACAGTGCAGTGTGTTGAGGTGGGTTGGAGTAATGTTGTGAATAAAGAAACTGACTTTGATGCTTTAGTTCATCAGAGCTGACACATGCCGAGACAGCCGTGTCCATTTGTGAAAGGCCTGTTTTCTTATCTGGCCTAGGATTTAAGGAAAAGACATTAGAAGCCACAACTTGATGCAAGTACTGCCTTTTTTTCCTCACTCTCATATGAACTACATGTCTTTTTTTTGCATAAAAAGATAATGTTTGGATGAATATAATTTTGGCTGGGGTGACCACACATCCAGTTTGCCTTGGGTAGTTTCACTGTGTGCATACATTATGCCTGGTTAGCACCGCCTTTCACTCTCAAGAGGGGCATGCGTATGGATGATAAATTGTACAGATGCTGTGTTTGTAGTCCACGTTCATTTATCATCGAGAGGATAATAACCAGAGGACGCTTACTTTAAATTCACTTATAACTCTTTCTTCTTTTCTTTTTTATGGTTTTTCATAGGATATTTTTTTTAGTTGGAGGATAATTGCTTTACAATGTTGTGTTTCTGCTGTGTTCAACGGCGTGAATCAGCTATAAGTATACATATAAAATCACTTATAACTCTTAAGCCTTTTTGAAAACTATTTTAGCCATAATTTTTTGTTGCATAGTAAGATTTAATAATGGTATGTGTATTATATACTTCAGTTTCACTTCTGTATTTTGCTTATAATCTTGTGGAAATACTGAAAAGATGAATTAAAAAAACATGGAACAGAATGAGGTAGTTAATACTAGTGTTTTGTGGGTCACTTCTGTTGTTTAATAGCACCGGTTTTATATACAACTCTGAATGGATTATTTTTTTAGCTTAATGTATCTAAAAAGATATTGCTTTGTTAGCATATATGAAGTGTTTATCAGGACTCAAGCATATTCTAGTTCACTTTCCTGTTTGGCATTATCCTTTTTATGGTTGCCATAGCAAACTATGCTTTGGTGTTAGACATGTCTTTGCTTTGGTTTTTAAAATTGGCTGTGGTAAAATATTTCAGCAGTATAGAAATGAGTGAAATAAAAAGTAAAAGATCCATTTCAAAGTGTCTTTCTCCATCCTCCTTTCCACAAGTCCCTGCAGTTTAGATTCTTTTTTTTTTAAATGTGATTTATGAACAATACATTTAAAACTTGGTGGTAAAGCAAGTATTGGGAATTATTTTCTAAAAAGTACTCATAGTGCTGACTCACCTTTGGATCATTATTTTTTAATGATTTCAGTTTTAGTATTCAGATAATTTTTTTATAGTTGGCCTCTGTCATGCTTTGAAGTGATAATTTTGTGTTTGTCAACATGCTTTTCAAAAGTGCAGAAATTAGCCTGCTAAAATCCTGATTTCTGTCCCCTCAACTCAGTGAGATCACTGCTGTCTTCCTGGGATCACCTTCTCTGCACTGAGATCCAGAAACTGTCTGCAGACAGAAAGCCTGTTCCAGTATCTGCAGTGCCCCTGTGTAGAAAATTGAAGCAAATGTTTGGTTTATCTATTTTATATTCTTTCTTACAGATCATCATTCCGTGCTACCTGTGGCCTGACGTCTCAAGTGTATTTTAAATATATTTTTCCAGTTTTCTGATTATTTACAATAGGAGTTCCACTTATTCTGTCATGACTAGAAGTAAAACTCTTGATCTGTCATTTTATTTTCAAAACCTTCCAACCAGAATTAGCCCCAAGTGCCTAGTCTATGATTGCTAAGTTGAAAAATTTGAAGGAACTTTTTAGTGTACAGTTTTTCAGTTGTGTCATTAATAAAAATTAAAATTCTCTACCAGGTTCTCCCATTTTGTATCACAACTTATTGCCTTTTATAGTTAAGGTGGGAGGGGGAAGTGGAATATACAACTAATTGTTACACTTTTCATTTTTTAGACCTAAAGATTGCCTTCGGTCTATTATGAGGAGGGTAAACCATAAAGATCCTCATGTGGCTATGCAGGCTCTCACCGTGAGTGATTTTGTTTTAAGATCTACAGCAAAATTGTCTGCCAAAATCAAGCCCTTTTAACTTCCGATTTTATCCTTTTAGCTTCTAGGAGCATGTGTATCAAACTGTGGCAAAATTTTTCACTTAGAAGTATGTTCGAGAGATTTTGCTAGTGAAGTAAGCAACGTATTAAACAAGGTAAAGAACATTATTTCCAGAAATGAATTAAGACTGTCTTCTTTCTTCATGTATTTTACATGTATTTTATTGTTCAGTTCTTCAACTTTTTAAATCACAAAGGACTAGTCTGTGTTTTTTTGTTTTTGTTTTTTAGCTCTTTCTGGGATATGTCTATCCCATGTATAAGTCCATGTTAGGTTTGCCGAGGAGACTACGTATTTATATAACTTGGAGAGTTGGTTTTGGTGAAGCCAAATTAGGATACATTTAACCTTTTTTCTTCATCATTCCTTTCTTCTGATGAAAAATATGTGCATTTTTTTGTCTGATTAAAAGGTACCAGTTTACTTTGGGCACAGAGATTATCTGCTTAACAAAATGTAAAGGATTCAAATCCAGCAGTTGAAGGAATTTTAAAAATTTAATTAATAAGTAATATGTAAGTTTTCCCAGTAAACATTCATGCATTCATAAAAATTCATGTAGTTATCTCTGGCCTTTCTTGGTGGTGGGTGGAGTAATTATTAAGAAAAACTGTTTTTAATGTTAAAAGAGAAAATGCTTCATGTTTTATTTTGAAAAATGAGCATTTCCAAATTTTAGTAGGAAATAGTAAAGAAGTGAGATAATTTAAAATTCTGGACTTCTTTTAATACATTATGGTTATGTGATAATTTTCTCCTGTGCTACTTTATTCAATTATTTAGTTACATTTTATTTAGGTTTTTTTTTTTTTTACTAATTCTTTACTATTCTTTTGATGTCTTGAATGTCCATTCAAAATGTATAGCTATTTATGAAGAGATTCTAATATAATATTTTCTTTAATTGATGTGTACTCAGTACTTAGTAATATAAACAACTGCATTGAAAGGCAAGCAGTTGCATATAGGAGAAAGAACTTCACTTTATTTTACAGATATTTGTAGTGAACTTATTAGTTTTATATTTAAGAGGGAGGTGCTGTTGTGAAGAAATGAAGTTTCTAGGAATATGGACAGTAGTGGGCCTCAGGCCAGGCCTCAGATAATTAGTAATTGGAGGAAAACACAGTCATGCATATTAAAAATCAGGAATTAGGAATAAAAGAACTGTACTATTTATTCTCTTTTCCAACTTATTTTTTTATTGGTCTGAAAAAAAGAAAATAGATTTTCCTGTCTTCCTCATATGCAGTAAAATATGAGTTAGTAGAAGACCCTGAAATACTCTTAGTTGTAAAATACTCTGAAAAGTCCTATCTTTCTGACTCCAAAATAAGTAACTCTATATCTAATGTTTTGGTTTGATGTGACATATGTGATGGTATCATCTATTTTTTCCCATAATATGAAAATAAAACTGGCTTATTTCTAGTAACCATCTGTGTTTTCTTATGTGTCACCTATAGCTAGGGATAATTTATGATTTAAAAAGAGATCTGAAATACTGTATTAAATCATTAAACAGAAAGTGCTTTTTTGTTAAATTTTTTTCTCTATTTTTCAGGGTCATCCTAAAGTGTGTGAAAAATTGAAGGCTCTTATGGTTGAATGGACAGATGAATTCAAGAATGATCCACAGCTTAGTCTAATATCAGCAATGATTAAGAACCTAAAGGAACAGGGTGTTACGTTTCCAGCTATTGGCTCTCAGGTATTTTATAGACATTTGTGTGTGCTACATTTGTTTCTAAAGTTAACCGTGTTTATTTGAGGCTTTCTTTTTTTCTTCCAAACCCAGGTAGTTGTTTATACTCCAGAGGAATTTTACTAATAATTATAATCTTGCATATAAAGGTGCCAAAAAGAATATATAGTGGATTGCTAATATTTTCCAACTTCCATTTCCCCACTGTTTCTTCTTTTTAAATGAATTAACTGTTCTGTTATTTAAGATTATTTTTAAATATAATTTTAATGATACAGAACAAATTGCTTTATTAGTTAGTACTGACATTCTTGTTAGATGCTCTTCATGCTGTAATTTTATCTACAAAGAATGACGGCTCTAAAATAATATTTCCTTAAAATTTAAAGATGTGTTTAGAGGTTATTTGGACTATGAAATTTATGAACACCTGTATTAAAATGGGAGGGAGATAAAAAGGGGTCATTTGGAGGAGAAACACATAAAACATCTTTCCCATTAATAAGAACTGACCAGCACAGAAGTCTTCTTTCTTCTTCCTAATAAATATGATTGACTGAAAAGCTTAATTTGCCTTAAAAAAATTATTTATGTAATGGGCTCAATCTCTAACTTATGTCATTCATGTAGGAAAAAAAAATGAAAGGGGACTTTTTTATTCTTTTTCTTTTCTGGGTAACCATTATTTAGGATGCCCACTTGACTAAGCAGGCTTAAAATGTCTGGTAACTTACTGTATTGTTTTTCCCCGCTATACCGCTTGGGCTGGAATGTAATGAGTGGTGTGAAAACACGAGCGGAAAATGCTTAGTTGTAAAGGGCTTACATTCAGGGTTTTGGCCGTTTCAAGCGAATTATGAAGTGATTCATCTAGACTTTCTTCTTAAGGCATTTCTGATTTATCTAAGTACTCTTGAGATGTGAAGATCCAGAAATATATTCTGGAAATGAAAAAAAAAAATAAGATTTTTCTTTTTACTTGAAAAAAAATTTAGCTTATGACTAATTTTACAGTGATAAATTATGTCTTAAGAAGTAGTCATTCATAATTGATAGCTCATTTTTACTACTCTCAGTAAAATTTCTAAATCTCTGTAGTTAAGGAGTAATTTTATGCAGAATAATCCAAGATACGGTATAATAACATGACAGCAGAAGCAGCGTTTAATTACCAAAGACGGTACTCAACCGTGGAGAAGGAAGAGTGTAGCTACTTGGTGGGATGTCAGTTTGTGTGCCCCGAGAACCTGTTCTAGAGTGTGGTGCTCACAGTGCAGTTCGTGGACCATCAGTAGTCATCATCGCCTGGAAGCTTGTTAGAACTGTCATCTCGTGTGGAACACACCACGCAGTGGGTTCCCTACCTGCATTTTAACAAGATCCCCGATGACTGTGTGCACATTAGAGTCTGAGCAGCACTGCCCTTAAGGACAGCTTTCCGTGCAGTGAAAACTGCACTCCTGTAAGAGAAGGAAGGAGAGTTAATGATCGGATGGACCCATAGCTTTGCTGGGTTAACCTCAAGTCTCAGGTAGTTGTGGGAGCTACTCTAGTGATCCTCTAATCTAATCCCCTCATTTTACAGATGAGGGTCCTGAGCCCCAGAATGGTTAAGTGACTTGCCCAGGGCCACAGCTAGTGATTGACAGAGCTGGAACAGGCCTTCCAGCTCTCAGTCCAGTGTTCTTTCCACTACACGATCCTGCCTTCCATTTGCTATTGAGGTTAGTAGATATGTGTCTGTCCGGACTAGGATTTGAAGGACAAGAAGTGGAGTGAACACTGGGAAGACTGCTTATGTACTGATGGGTGTAGACATGGGATTCCTGTCTTGTTCAGAAGATTCAAGGTGTAGATTAGCAGTTGGAAAGAGTGACTTTTCTTTTTTTCATGTAGATGTTATAAAGGATGTGAAAGCTCATTCTGTTACAGCTGCTGTGTTTCACCCACAGGGAATATGTAAAATGCGTATAAACTATGATGTGGTAGAATGGTGTTTTCTATTTTTTTTTAAATAGTAGTTTCTGAAGAGCTTGTTTGTCATTGAAAATCCTGTTTGTAAAGAGCTCCTTGTTTAATTAAAAAAAAAAAAAATCTGTCATCTGGAATCAACTGCAGAAGTCCCTACCAATTTTACAGCCACTTAGTTGCTTATGCTTACTGCATAGTCAGACTAGATATTTGTTAGCATATTTAACAAAAACCTCTGGAAACATGAAGATAAATTTTTTTAAGTATGTTATTTCATCCAGGTAGAGAAGAAAATAATGTAAAATATTAAGAAAAGTCATTCTGAGTCACCTGACTCTTGCTGCTTTGGTTCTCTCATGGCACTAACTTTTGACCTCGAGGGAGAAGTGATGCTGGCCCTGCTACTGCGTTTGACTGGTTAATAAGACAAGTAGCATTGCTATACTTGGAACCTGATGATAGAAAGGAACTTTGAAAAGAGAGCAGTTCAGGAATGTAGAGCTTAATATAGCTCAGTTCTGCGTTTCCTTCTTGACCAGTAGAGATCCCTTCACAGACCACAAAAGATCTATATGTCTATTTTGTGAAATTCCCTAAATTGTGGAAAAAAAAAGCATATATAATGAAAAAGATTATCTCTGATGAAGCATACCTTCAATGTTAAGAGGTGTGTGTAATTAAAACATTTTTATCCAGGGAAGGTTACAGCTGGAGGTGGGTCAGATTGGAAATACTTAATGTTCTATTCAGTGAGTCCAAAAGCTCTTTTCTTATCAGCTTTTCTAAAAATAAATGCCTCATGCATTTGTTTGACATTATAAAATATATTTAGTGAAGGCTGTATTTGCTATAATGTTGGATATTTTGCCTTTCATTTAGTCAACAATCATGGCTTATAATATTTAGGGCCATATACCCTCAAGGAATCTCCCTGGTAGTTCAGTTGGTAGAAGGATCTGCTTACAATGCAGGAGACCCAAGTTTGATACTTGGGTGGAAAAGATCCCCTGGAGAAGGAAACGGCAAGCCGCTCCAGTATTCTTGCCTGGAAAATCCAATGGATAGAGGAGCCTGGTGGGCTACAATCCATGGGGTCACAAAGAGTTGGACACAACTTGGCGACTAAACTGCCACAACAGCCCACAAGGAACGCACATCCTGGTTATGGGGATAGACATGTAAGCAGCCTCATTCTGTAGAGGAGGAACTTGAGACACAAGGAGACTTATGGGCTCCAGGTTCATGCATTAGAAGGTGGTACATCTAGGATGTACACCACATTGGCCTGACTCCACAGCCTGCCTTCTTAACTACCCATGTCATAGGACCTTGTTGAAAATCAGAGGAATACAGAGAAGGGAATGCTTACTTAGAAGGTTTAGCAATGTTTCACTGAGAAAGTGATATTTTAACTGTTCCCTGACTTGTGGGTTGAAACTGAGTAGGAAAAAATGTGGATGTAGTAAAAGGAGCTAGAGGGGAAGAGGTTATGAGTAGAAGCAAGTGTGTGTCAGAGGCGTCAAAGTGTGTGTGTGTGTGTGTGTGTGTGTGTGCGTGTGCCCGCGCGCGCCAGCAGTTCTGGTAAATGATAGAATGGTTGAAGAACGAGACTGGAGTCTAATTCTCCTTGATGGCCACACAAAAAGTAAGCGGTCATTAAGGCCTTGGAAGCTTTGTACTTCTATAAGCATGAATCAGTGTGTGTGTTTATTTGTCCTCTACTTTATTTACAAAATACGTTTAAGATGAACAATAATATACTGTCAACATTGACTACTAGTATTTTAGTTTAGAAAATAGTATAATCTTATGAGCATTTATATTATTATATAGAAATCTGGATTCCTGACTTCTGAGCTGGAAGGAAACAACAAAATATAACTCTTGTCTAGATGTTTTAAAAACTACTTGTTTTTAAAGTAGTCATCTCCTTTCCCCTTGCACCCCATTTTCTGGTTGTAAAATTTTCCAGAAATGTTGAGATCTCCTCTAGCCTCTGTTTGCTGGTTTGCATACTGTCTGCCTCTAGTGTCACCTTTTCACTCACACCTGGCAAAGTGTGGTTGTTTTGTCATCCCTAAGAAATGAACGCTCAGTCTGTTTTCTCCAGTCCTGCCTCAGCTCTGTCTTCTGTCAAAGTGGAGACTTCTTCCCCTTGGATTTCTTTCTTATTCAGAAGTCTGGTGGATTGATTCAAGAAGGGGTCTTGTGAGTTCTTAGATTAATTGGGGTAGGAAAATTTGAGAACAGCTTTCAAATATCATTTCTTTTTTCTGTTTTAGGCTGCAGAGCAAGCGAAAGCAAGCCCAGCTCTGGTAGCCAAGGATCCTGGTGCTGCGGCTAACAAAAAAGAAGAGGAAGATTTAGCGAAAGGTACAGTTTTTAAGTCCCTGACCCTGGGAAGATGATAGGTCTCTTCCTTGATATTTTTTCCCCCTGAGATGTTTAAAAATAAAGGAAATAGGAGTTCATAGCCAAAGCTGAAATCTGCTTTGTTCTTCTCTGTTCCTCTCTTCAGTATCACGTCTTTCCTCTCCTCTTCCAAGGTAGCTACTGTCGTGTATGTCTGTTCAGTCTTGTTTCTATAATATTTTTACTATACTATGTATCCATAAATAATACCAAATACTTTTTTGTTTCCAGCAAATTCTTTTTTCATAAGTACTGTACTCTAGGTACCATCTGCAACTTTTTTTTTCATGTGATGTTTGAGATCTATTCATACTGAGGTATTTATGTTGTTCATTTGTTAAGCAGTTAAGCTGTATAATATTCCAGTATTAGCACCTGCTTTATGTTCTCATAAACACCTGCTTTAGCCTAACTTCCTTCCTACTGATGGACATCTGGATTTTCTGATTTCTTTTACTATAACACACATGCAGCATTGAGTATCCTTTTTCATGTTCTTCAGTGTGTGTGTGTGCGCGTGTGAAAGATCGTTTTGTGGTATTGTTGGCTTATGGAGCAGGTACATCTTCAACTTTGCTAAGTAGTTGTGGTATTCCTTTCCCATCCACAGTGTATGAAAGCTCTTATTATTCACTTATTATTTCTAGTCTCATGATGACATTTGGTATTGTCAGAGTAATTTTTGTGAATCTGATGGGTTTGAAATGATACCTAATTATTTTAATTTTTATTTTCTTGATTACTAGTGAGGTTCAGTCCTTTTTTGTATGTTGGTTAACTTTTGATTGTCTCTTTTTCTATATTTTTTTTCCTAGTAATGCTGTATACAAAGTTTTTATTTTGGATATCAACATTTGCCTGTTATATCTATTGTAAATGTTTACTCTTGGGTTTTGGCTTATAGTTTAACTTTGATAATGCCATGTTGTATTAAACAAGTTTTAAATTTTGATGTATTCAAAAGTTTTGCTTTTCTTTTACAATTTTTTTTTTTAATGTCTTAAGATATTTCCCTCTCTCCCAGGATCCCGATTTCCTATTTTTTCTTACGTTAATTTTGAAGTTTTATTTTCTCATCTGGTCTTTTATTCATTTGGAAAAGAGGTGGCAGGGAAGAAGGGGTTATGTGTTGAATTGAAAGTGGCATAGTCAATTTATTAAGATTATATTATAAAGCCTGAATGACGTGGTGATGGCCTGCACTGGGGAGGAGATAGAGCAGACACATTTAAGATTTATTTGGGGTGTTATTAGGTGAGACTTTACTGCATTTGTTTCCAAATTCCAGTTCTTAGACTGCTTACCTGAGAATGACCTTTGGAACAATAAAACACAGGCTCTCAAATGCTGTCTTTGAGACTTCTGTTTAATGAGCCCCGAGTGAAGGACTCCAGCTTGGGACTTTGACTTCCAAAGTGATTTTGATTATTATTTGGTAAACTTAAGCGATAGAGATACACTGAGAAGATGAAAGAAAATATAAAATATCTGTAGTTAAAAAAAACAGATTTGAGTTTATATCACTTTGTTGCCAAGAATATTTTAAATTGTACCTGTTCAGTAAAAAAAGCTATCATGCTCTTCAGTTGTTTTGTTAGCCTATTTATTTTTTAAACTTTTAGTTGTGAACGAATGAATACAATTGATGTCATTATTTTTGTTCACTATTATTATATCAGGATATGTTCTAGCTTCCCACTACATTATTGAAAGAAGAATACTTTTTACCCTCAGATATCTTTTTTTACTTCTTAGGATTGTTGGGTGTATTAACATTTTGGGTCTTTTTTTTAAAACCCATTATTTTCCAGCCATTGAGTTATCCCTGAAGGAACAAAGGCAGCAGTCAACCACCCTTTCCACTTTGTATCCAAGCACATCCAACCTCTTAACTAACCATCAACATGAAGGCCGGAAAGTTCGTGCTATATATGACTTTGAAGCTGCCGAAGATAATGAACTGACTTTTAAAGCTGGAGAAATTATTACAGTTCTTGATGACAGGTGATGGTTACTATTAGGTTGAATATTCACTTGAAGATACATAATATATTCTGTGTTTCATTTATTCCTGCTGACTGCCTTATCAAACATAATAAAATCAAATATTGACTCAGGTATTTTCTCTGTAGGATAGTTGGTTGCTTTGCTTGTGTCATACTGTCTGGATTTGTATTTTATGGTTTAATTTTTTTCTCATCTATCACTTAAATGCTTTTTATTTGTTTTGGAGGCCTAGTTTACTCTATTCATTTTTGGTTCTATCTAATACTACACACTGTTAAATTAGTAAAAAAGTTTAGATTTTAGAAAATACACTAAATATTTATGCATTTATGGAGTTTATAAGAAATATATAATATATTGAATTAATTTACATCATCAGAGATGATACAGTGCATCTCTGTTTTTACTACAGTTTTATGTTTACTTGAAAATAACTACTGGTGATTGTTACTCATAATGAAGTGCTAAAATTTATTGCAAGTGGTTTTTGAAGATCAGTTCAAATAAATCCAAGATTATTCCTGTAGTATCACACTTGCATACTAATATGTTTTCTTGAGTGAAAGAAAATGAAATAGTTTGCGCTGGTTATTTGGAAGTTGCATGAAACCTTGATCATTCATTCATTCAAAAAATATTTCTTGAGTGCTGGCTAGCTTTCCTTATCGTAGGCACTGGGGACCCAGTGGTGAGCATGGGGATGCGCTGGGGATTGTGTTCCTTGCGAACATTTGTGTTCCTAGGGATGTTACTATCATGTGTATTCTCTTGTGGGTAGACAGTATGCTAATATGTGCTGCAAAGAACACTGATTTAGAAATGGAGGTCTGGATTCAGAGTCTACCATCTATCTTGTTACAAAAGGTTCTTAGGCTGGAGCCTATGAACCACCTGAAGTTGACAGTTTTTAAAAAAAATATTTATTTTTTTATTTGTGGCTGTGCTGGGTCTTCGTTGCTGCGCATGGGCTTTCTCTAGTTGCAACAAGCAGGGTCCGGCTACTGTAGTTGTGGTGTGTGGGCTTTTCATTGTGGTGGCTTTTCTTGTGGAGCATGGGCTCTAGAGCTCGGTCTTCAGTAGTGCAGCTTGTGGACTTAGTTGCCCTGGACCAGGGATTGAAACCATGTCCCCTGCATTGGCAGGCAGATTCTTAACCACTGGGCCACCAGAGAAGTCCTGAAGTTGACAGTGAAGTCTGGGGATCTGTCTTTTGCAGGAGAGAGAGTTCAAAGCCTTATATTAGATCCTCAGAGCATTTACCAGCTTTCCAAAGTATGAAAAAGAACTGTTTTTAGAATCTGTTTTAGAATGTCTTCTCTGAGACCTCATCTTGTGTTTGTAATAATGCTACATCCATTTCCTCCTTCCTTGGATTCTTGTGGGCTTCACATCTGGTAAAGATATAAGTTAAACACCATAAAAGGTAAAGATAAATAAAAAAGCTTTCTTTTTTTGTTCCTTTTAGTGATCCTAACTGGTGGAAAGGGGAAACTCATCAAGGCATGGGGCTCTTCCCCTCGAATTTTGTGACTGCAGATCTCACTGTTGAGCCTGAAATGAGTAAGTATTTTCTGGTCTGTCACTGGACAGTAATCCTTAATTCTCTAAAATTCAGCTTTCTAGAGCAAGAATTCTCAAATGTTGGAGCCTCCAAGGTGTTTATTAAAAATGCAGTTCCCCAATCAGTTTATCAGCCTGTAGACTTTTATTTAGGAAAAGAAAAAGTGTGTTTGTGTATTTATATGTCATTGCAGAAATGCAGATTAAGAAGTGTTGTAGAATTTAATCTTGTATTTTTGGTATCATCAGTTGACAATAGTGTGACAAATGCGGTATAACCTTCTGGAGATTTCTTCGTGTTCTAAGGTTAGCTCATTTCCCTAGTATCCAGCCTCAAACTTGAAAGCAGTGGCCTCTAAGCAACTTAATGGCTTTCCTACACTTAATGTCAGATATTCAGAAGCAACCATACCTAACCATGTCAGTACTTTCTGATTTCCAAAGCTTTGCTGACAAGGAGAAACTGACTAAAAAGTGGGGCCAAGGAGGAAAAGTAGTATGGGCAGGCATAATTATTGCAGGAGATGTCAACTGCCAGTAGCTTATCGAAATGTTGGTAGGCGAGTCACTGTATTTCCACAAAAGACTGTGATGAATCTTCCTGATGATAAGTTTGAATTATCAGGAGTAAGTCATATTCTTCCTCTGTTTAAGGAAACATAAATATGTTCTCATCTAGAATGGTTTCTATTAGCGACTGAAATGTTTTGAGTTCTAAGGAATTTTTGTATGTTAGTTATCTTGGCAAAATGTCTCAGCTCATTTTATCTTTCTGTAATGCCAGATAGAAGAGCAAAGAGAGTTATAAGTCACCATTTGCTTTGGTCTTTTTCAGTTTACGAGAATTTTAAGAAAAGATCTTTGTCTCAGTTGTTTTATTTCCAGCAGTACTTGGTACTGAGTCTTATCCAGAATACAGACTGTATAAATGTTTATACAATAAATGATATATAAATGTCTATGTATTAGTAAAGATACACTTTTCTTTGAAAATACAGAAATGCTTCTCTTTCAAGAGAAGGCTTTAATAACATACATCACAGATCCTGGATAAAACAGTGCTGTCTCCTAGTTATTGTCAGGATGTCTTATATCGCTTTAATACAGACAGATTCCGATACCCATTCCTTTATGAAGTTCTTTTTTGCTAAACTGAAGAACAAGTTGTAGAACCTAGTTTAAATGGCAGTGCATAATGTGCCCATTTTTTAACCTCACCTGATGATGGTGAACTTTTCTGTATTTTGCTGTGAAGTTTTTTTGTTTGTTTTTGTTTTTATCTGTGATTTTGTTTTGTTTTTGTTTGTTTATATTGAGTTAGTTGTTGGATAGAATTGTCTTGAATGTCCATTCCAGATGAGATCCAATATGTCATGTGGATAAAGATACCTTCTTCCTTGTCACATCGCACAGTAACCTTAAAGTGAATTTTCTAACTATTTTCATGTGTTTCACTCTGGACCACCTAAAAGAGAGCATCAGAGCTTATGTAATAGAGTTATAGTTCTCAAGTTTGAAAAAGGAGTGTTAGCAAGATCCTTGTAGATCTATATGAGGAAATAGAGGTCCACTTCACGTAATGTATCATTAGAAATGCCTGAGTTACTTAGCTTGTTTACATTTTGGAGAGGCAGTGAGATTTTGTGAAAGGACTTTATCATATATGTGTATGTGTGTGTGTGTGATATTTATACACATGTGGCACGTAGTACACAAACGTAATGCACGCATACAAAGTAACAGTATTAGCCCCTGAGAGAAAGAACACTGTAGCCTTGTGCACGGTCAGCTGTTAAGATGGGAAGTCTGCCTTGCAGGGCTGTCCCAGCTTTCTACGTGTCTATAGTTCAGGATATAAAAAGCAGAAACATGTATAGCAGGTGGCTTTTTTTCTCCCATGGGAAAGTGAAATAAGCTGAAATTTCTTGTGTATGTAGACGTTTTCTTTATTGTGACTTCTGTGGGATGAATATATTCCTTGTATTGGAGATTAAACTATTTTCCATTATATTTTGTAACATAGAATATATAAGTGATATGACTTATTGTTCTCAGGGTAAAGTCACAGGCTGGATTCCAGTAGTGTGGGCTAGTGCAGCTAGAATGATGGGCATTCAGGTCCAGGCCTTGCCATTGAATTGCTTTTAACCTTTCTAAGCCACTGTTCACCTCATTCACAGGGTGGGTATATCTCAGAGGATTGTATTGGAGACTCATTGGGGGAAATGCAATATTCCATTAAGCACATTTAGTGGTTTAATAAATATTATTTTCCTTCCTTAATTCTGCCCCTTTCCACTTCCCCTCTTTCCACCTTGAGTCTTAATTTTTATGAATCCTGCTTGGCTACATGACTTGTTATTTAGATGCTGAGTCGTGTCTGACTCTTTGCATCTCCATGGACTGTAGCCTGCCAGGCTCCTCTGTCCATGGGATTTTCCAGGCAAGAATACTGGGGTGGGTCGCCATTTTCTTCTCCAGGGAATCTTCCCGACCCAGGGATCAAACCTGTGTCTCCTGCATTGGCAGGTGGGTTCTTTACCACTGAGCCACCGGGGAAGGCAACTATATTGATACATGGATAAAAAGATCCCAAAAGAAAGTTCATTTCTTTAAGGCTGTATGTGCCTCTCAGTAATACTTTGGAGAAAGTCAGTTGCTATGGAAATCATAACCTTATACTTGCTAGTTAGTGATATATTGAATACTTTTTAAATATTGCTTTGTTGAGCAAGAGAAATATGTACTTCTAGTTTGCAGATCCCTTAGTAGCCACCCTTTCATTGCAAAGAATAATGTAACTAAAAAATACAGAGTGATTTAGTGGAAAAACTCAGACCCCTGCCAAGACCAGTTGTAAAGTTCTCCACTGGCCTAAATGTCATTCCCTTAGTTAAAAAGTCTGAGGGGCATGCAGGAAATATACAGCTCACTTCCCAAATTCATTATATTGAAAGAGTATGGCCTGTGGAAAAGCAGAGATTTTTCTTTGAAAGAACTGGTAATTTGAAAAGAGGATTAATTTTAAATAGCAGAGTTCACTTATATGATTGTAAAACTGCTTTATTGAACTCTCCTTTGTAATAGGTGATTAATCTTTGTTCCAGACATATAGCTCTTATTTTTAGTGAAGTATCTGTTATGGAAAACATAAAATCTTTAGAAGGGAAAATTAAGAAGTCTTTACACAGTTTCATAATGTATTGTTCTGTCATTATTGCCTTAATCTCTGCTAGCGGTGTATCCCTTAAATTGAGTCTGTCAGATTGAAGAAAATATAGCAAACACTTAGATTCTTTCCTGGAACTTAAAGTGCTTTAAGATAAAATTGTAAATTTATGATATGGAAAAGATAATTGTTACATGTTTTTCAGTTAAAACGGAGAAGAAGACGGTACAATTTAGTGATGAAGTTCAGGTAGAAACGATAGAACCAGAGCCAGAACTAGCCTACATTGATGAGGTAAGTGACTTTCTGCCCGAGAGCACCTTATTTGATATTGAAGTTGAAATGGTTTTCTTCTCTTCTCTAAAAAATTCAGTCCTTGATTAACGCGTGTATTTTGTTGTTATAAAAATTCAAATAATACAGATCAAGCCAAGATGCTCCTGGAAATTTCCTCTCTAGTCCCCTTCTTACCATGTCAGTAGGTATAGTTGTCCTTTCTTATTTTAACTTCTTGCTTAATCTTCCATGGTATGGGTTGTTTTTTTTATTTTATTTTATTTTATTTTTTATTAGTTGGAGGCTAATTACTTTACAATATTGTAGTGGTTTTTGTCATACATTGAAATGAATTAGCCATGGATTTACATGTATTCCCCGTCCCGGTCCCCCCTCCCACCTCCCTCTCCACCCGATCCCTCTGGGTCTTCCCAGTGCACCAGGTCTGAGCACTTGTCTCATGCATCCAACCTGGGCTGGTGATCTGTTTCACCCTAGATAATATACATGTTTCGATGCTGTTCTCTTGAAACATCCCACTCTCGCCTTCTCCCACAGAGTCCAAAAATCTGTTCTATACATCTGTGTCTCTTTTTCTGTTTTGCATATAGGGTTATCGTTGCCATCTTTCTAAATTCCATATATATGTGTTAGTATACTGTAATGGTCTTTGTCTTTCTGGCTTACTTCGCTCTGTATAATGGGCTCCAGTTTCATCCATCTCATTAGAACTGATTCAAATGAATTCTTTTTAATGGCTGAGTCATATTCCATGGTGTATATGTACCACAGCTTCCTCATCCATTCGTCTGCTGATGGGCATCTAGGTTGCTTCCATGTCCTGGCTATTATAAACAGTGCTGCGATGAACATTGGGGTGCACGTGTCTCTTTCAGATCTGGTTTCCTCGGTGTGTATGCCCAGAAGTGGGATTGCTGGGTCATATGGCAGTTCTATTTCCAGCTTTTTAAGAAATCTCCACACTGTTTTCCATAGTGGCTGTACTAGTTTGCATTCCCACCAACAGTGTAAGAGGGTTCCCTTTTCTCCACACCCTGTCCAGCATTTATTGCTTGTAGACTTTTGGATAGCAGCCATCCTGACTGGCGTGTAATGGTACCTCATTGTGGTTTTGATTTGCATTTCTCTGATAATGAGTGATGTTGAGCATCTTTTCATGTGTTTGTTAGCCATCTGTATGTCTTCCTTGGAGAAATGTCTGTTTAGTTCTTTGGCCCATTTTTTGATTGGGTCATTTATTTTTCTGGAGCATAGTATGGGTTTATCATGACTTCATTCTATTGTTGGACAGTTAGGTTGTTTTCAGTTCTCTGTGGGTTTTTTTTTTTTTTTTTTTTTTTGCTGTTACACTGTTGTAATGAGACTTTTTGGATAAATTCAAAAGAATGTATGGCTCTTATTTTTATTACTTGTTTACTTTACTTTTTACTTTTTGGCTGCACTGCACAGCATGTGAGATCTTAGTTCGCAAGCCAGGGATCGAATCCAAGCCCCCTGCATTAGAAATGCGGAGTCCTAAGCACTGGACTGTTAGTGACGTCCTTGACTTTTATTTTTAAATCTCAGTAGTTAATTTTTTGGCAGTTATATCCTTTGTAACATTTTAAACTAATGATGAAAAATGAGAATTCCTGTTTGAAATATGTGAAGGGATTTGTTGGTTTTTAGCCTTCTTTGGAGGGAGCCAGAGGACTAAAGTTCGAAGAGCACTCTTTTGAAGGCTGTGCTGAGAGCCAGAGCCTGTATAGGGGCAGGGAAAGTCAGCTTTAGCTATAGCATGACATCAGAAAATGTGTGGGGACTTGCCTGGTGGTCCAGTGGCTAAGACTCCACTGTCTCAACACTGGGGGCCCAGGTTTGATCCCTGGTCAGGGAATTAGATCCCTCATGCCACAACAAGATCAAAGATCTCATGTGCTGTAACCTAATCCAGCAGAGCCAAATAAATAAATATTAATAAAGAAAATGCATGTAGGGTCTACCTAGAAACCTCATTTCTGTGATAGATAGTTTCAAATAGGGTATAGAATTCTATAAACCAAGAGGACAGAAGTTACCCCTGTGTTAGCTGACTCTCATTTTACTCCTCCTCTCTTTTTTTGACTTCAGACACTTTCCTGACATGTGCCTTCTCTTTTAGACTACTTAAAATGAAATTAGGACTCTTTTACATTGAAAAGTAGTATCTATTTCAGAATATGAAATTCTTTGACTTCAAGAGAGTTTTTTTTTAATATAGTTGTGTCATTTTCACTCTTAGTGATTAATTCATCTCTCAAACTATTCTCCTTCTGTACAGACTGTAGAATTTGTTTTGGTTTACATAATGACTTTGCTTCGAATTGATAGCCTTTAAATTATTTACCTAAGTAGCTATGCTTAGTAGTATAATCTTGTCAAAACCATGAATGGAGAAAAGTTTGCAATTATTATAGTAATATTGTTTGGTAAAGGAGATCTATATTTTGATTTTTTTAAACTTACATATAGATACATCTCTGCTAATATAATGCTTACGTGTGTTTATGTCATGATGGCTTCTTTATTTCTGTTGGTCTAAAACAAAAGATTCTGAAATAGGTCTGAGTCACTGCCTTGAGATGCCTCCCGGCCTTTCACACAGGAGAATAGAGAAACCACAAATCATCCTCCCTTTCTTTGATGACAGACTGAAACATTGGTGGAAAGAATGTAGAATAAATCCTTCTGGTGCTCCTCAGAAGAGGAACAGCTGGAGTAGAGCTGAGCGTGCCTTATAAAACAGCTGCTGTATTCTCCCCAGTGGAGAAGTAGTAAGGGAGTTGTTAGTCATAAGTAATGATGCCAGCTTGATAGGGTACACCTGTCACTGTGGCCAGGCTACACCACTGCTCCAAAAGAAAGTGAGATGGAAATCCACTAGCATGACATAAGAGATTAATGAATTCACATGATGTAAGTTTAAATGTTGCTCTATTTCTTCTTATTTAAGAGAATTTCTGTTATCAGTTTCGAAAACAAGAAGAAATAGCTTTCAAGACTCTGACTTCACATGGTAGTAAAGAAAATACATGGATAGTAAATACATTAAAGCAAAATTGAAGTTTTCATATCTGTGAATTACAAGTTTATCCATTATCTAATTAACAAAGTGAGACGTCATTGTGGCAGAGTGATTTGTTGCTTTTTATATTAACTGTTTAATTCCTGTAGGATAAAATGGACCAGTTGCTACAGATGTTGCAAAGTACAGATCCCAGTGATGATCAACCGGATCTTCCAGAGTTACTTCATCTTGAAGGTAAACCTGGTTTTCCTTTTACCTCACAAGTAAAAAATAATTAAGGGTTATAGCTAATGTTCTCTTACAGAGTGCTTTTATTATTAAATAAAATTGAAGACGATATAAACAGTGTTAACATTTCTCACTCTTCTATGACCAGTCTCGTGTTTACATGCAGTTTAAACCTGTGGTAGAATTCAAATTTTTAAACATTTCTACCCAAATTAAACATTTTATTCAACATTTTAAAATGTTGTAAAATGAAGATTGGTACTAAAGTTTTCTGAGAGCAATGCAGTCAGTCAAAAGTATTGATTTTATAAATATCCAGGAAAACCAGTCTTGGGTTCTGTGGGCCTCAGGTTAATTGATAGAACTTTTATTATTCCAAATGACATCTTTTAGAGAGTTGCTGTCTTTTGCTGCGTTGTCTTATATTTCTTCCATCTTGTCGTCTTAGCAATGTGTCACCAGATGGGGCCTCTCATTGATGAGAAGCTGGAGGATATCGATAGGTAAGACCGTATGTGTGCTGCCTGTGCTGCGTGCCCTCTTCCCTACAGAGCTCTCTAAGCTGCATCTTGAAACAGAGCTGCCTTTTTATTTTATTTTTACAGATATGCCAGTTTTCACTTGTTTCCCACTAGATGTGAGAATCGAAATTAAACCCATCTGTCGCCCCTGCCCCCTTTTTAAAGTGAGAATTTGTGTGACTTTCTGATACTAGTCTTGTTTTTTTAATAAGGGTTAACTGTTGTAATCGTATTTGCTGTTAGTGGCATCATCAAGCCCCACAAATGACCCATCTGTTACTAATAAAGGAAACCTAGATTTTTGAGGTAAAGTCAAGTGCAATAAGCATGAGTCCTTCCCACACAACACCTAAACCTTACCCCTACAACACCTAAATCTTTTTTTTTTTTAATTTATCTTTATTAGTTGGAGGCTAATTACTTTACAGTATTGTAGTGGTTTTTGTCATACATTGACATGAATCAGCCATGGATTTACATGTATTCCCCGTCCCGGTCCCCCCTCCCACCTCCCTCTCTCCCCGATCCCTCTGGGACTTCCCAGTGCACCAGGCCCCAGCACTTGTCTCATGCATCCAACCTGGGCTGGTGATCTGTTTCACCCTAAATAGTATACATGTTTCGATGCTGTTCTCTCAAAACATCCCACCCTTGCCTTCTCCCAGAGTCCAAAAGTCTGTTCTGTACATCTGTGTCTTTTTTTCTGTTTTGCATATAGGGTTATCGTTACCATCTTTTTAAATTCCGTATATATGTGTTAGTATACTGTAATGGTCTTTATCTTTCTGGCTTACTTCACTCTGTATAATGGGCTCCACTTTCATCCATCTCATTAGAACTGATTCAGATGAATTCTTTTTAACGACTGAGTAATATTCCATGGTGTATATGTACCACAGCTTCCTTATCCATTCGTCTGCTGATGGGCATCTAGGTTGCTTCCATGTCCTGGCTATTATAAACAGCAACACCTAAATCTTAAACACTTGTGGTTGCCTTGGAGTTAAACTATAGGATATTTTGTTGTGTCACAAAGTTACATTTTTCATAGTGTCTACTTAACACCATTCTTGCCTACTTTTGCTATTTTGGTGCATCTTATTACTTAGAACATGTAAATAGCAGTGATGTTTTACATTCTTGTATAATATTTCAGAAAACATTCAGAACTCTCAGAACTGAACGTTAAAGTGATGGAAGCCCTGTCCTTGTATACCAAGTTAATGAATGAAGACCCTATGTATTCCATGTATGCAAAATTACAGAATCAGCAGTATTATATTCAGTCATCCGGTGTTTCTGGTTCTCAGGTAAGCTTTTAAAAGCTCAAGCATCTCATTTAAATTTTCAAATATATTTGAGATTATTTGAAATAGCTATGTTTTTTTAAAATGTGAAACTTCCCAAAAGTAATGTTCAGAGTAAAAATAAAGTTTAGAAGACTTTTTTATTTGACAAATACAATGTATAGTATGCTAACTATACTGATAGTTCTTGTTCTAAAAAATTTTTATGCAGAAGTGCACATCAGTCACCATCAAGTTAAAATATAGATGCATTGGCTCTACCCCAGGCATATTGAATCCAGGTGTGAGATCCAAACGTCTGTGTATTTTCAAATTTTCACATCTAATTGTCTGGTTAAGAAGGACAGTTTTTGTCTCTCTGAGTACAGTTTCTTAATATTAGTAAGTCCTTGTGAGTATCTACCATTTTCAGTTTTACAGTGAGCTGCCTTGATCTGGATTTTTTCTGTTCCTTTACGTGGGAACATGTGTGATGTGCACAGGCCCCTAAAACTCATCACACCAGCAATTATTTCCAGAGCCCATTTCCCACAAACTCACCAAGTGCAGGGTGTAGGGAGCAGTTCATCAGACACTGTATTTTATCCACACAGAGTACCATAAACTTTGTGCAGGTGAATTTTTTTTTTTTTTGGTGAGGTCCACTCCTGAAGGGAGGGGCCAGAACCCTGAAGAAGAGCAGCCAGACCTGAGAAATGTGGGGCTGGACAACACCTACCCATGAGTCATGACACCAGTGCGAGCCAGCAGACAAACAGAACCCCTTCCTGTTGGTTTTGCAAAGTACAAACGATTGGATTGTGAGGACTGGACTAACTGTTTACAACGAAGCCCTTCTGGATTCTGTGTGTAGTGCGTCTCGTGGCTTTAACACAGGTGCTCACACGGTGGTGATTTTGTGTCCTGACGGTGGTGTCACCGTCTTACAGTAACAGCTGGTGAGAGTCGCTCTCCCTGAACAGTTTTCAAACATGTGAAATGGAAGGATCTAATGAATACTACAGAAAATTAGAATATTATGCATGTTAAGTTTTGGGAGGCACTTGAGACCTTAATCTCTCTGGCTTAAAACAAATACAGTTTTTAGATGCAAGGATTCACAATGGCCCAAGGGCAAAAATCCAGCCCCTGCACCTGGTTTTTCTATTTTTTAAAAACTTTTATTGAAATACAGCAATTCTCTTTAGTTTCTACATCATTTCTGACTGCTTTCTCTATGAGCAGAGCTTAGTAGTGCTGACAGAGACCGCGTGGTCCACAAACTCTGACACGTGTACTGTCCAGGCCCTTGACAAAGTCTGCTGACCCCGCAGACTTTGAAGGGTAGCTTAGCTTGCTCTGTGTTCAATAAAATGTAACTTAGGAAATATTTAGTATATCTCTGATAGGTATCGAGAAGCAAGTGTGAACTGTTGCTGTAAAACAGTGAATTCAAATACACTTTCTTAAGCATTTTGGGGGATTCCTTTGTTGTTGTTATTGTTCAGTCACTAAGTCATGTGATTCTTTGCGACCCCATGGACTGCAGCCTGCCAGCCTCTCCTGTCCTTCCCTATTATGGACTGCAGCCTGCCAGCCTCCCCTGTCCTTCACTATTTCCTGGAGTTTGCTGAAACTCATGTCCATTGAGTCAGGGATTCCTTTTAGGGAGATACAGTATCAACATGGAAAGAGAGATTATATCAGTATCAGATTAAAAGGTAAGTTCCTTTACTGCTTCTGTATGAAGGGGAACATGAGTTTTGCTATTGTTTACCTAAGAACAAAAATCATCAGAAGCCCACTTCACTGAAAAGTAACTTTTTCAAATGCCTGACAGCAGAAGTAACTTAAAAGACTTCAGAGATGTGATTGTTCTGTTTGTAATTGAAAGCATGCCTGTTAAAATCAGAGGGAACCTAACATGTTTTATGTGGAACTGTTCTAGGTGTACCCACCTCAGAGTGGTGCTTACCTGGTCGCAGGGAGCGCCCAGATGAGCCACCTGCAGAGCTACAGCCTGCCCCCCGAGCAGCTGTCTTCCCTCAGCCAAGGAGCAGTGCCGCCATCTGCAAGCCCAGCCCTTCCTACTCAGCAAGCCCAGGCTTCCTACCCCAAGTAATTTGATTATTGACTGTTGTTTGTGGGTAGTGCTATTGAAAGCCTCAAGTGCCGTCGATCGTCTGTAGTCATGAAAACTGGATTTAAAAAAAGCAGGACGGGTGTCATCGCTGAAGCAGGGCGCCATCACTGTCTGGTGGCGAGTGGGTTCTCTGGGCCCCTGTGCAGCGTGGCAGTGCCAGCCAGCCTGCCAGTCCTCTGCCCTACTGGTTCCTTGAACTACTGGATTCTGATTTTACCTCGTCGTCGTTTTTTTTTTTAACTTTTAGTTTTGTACTGGGGAATAGCCAGTTAACAGTGTTGGGATCGTCTCAGGTGGACAGCAAAGGGACTCAGCCAGATTTGTACATGTATCCATTCTCCCTCAAACTCCCCTCTCATCCAGGCTGCCACATAACATTGTAGCTAGGTATTTTTGATATTCCTTCCCATCAGAATTTCTTTTGTTTTTATCTGAGTCTGATATTAGCTAAGGACTCATTACTTAAGTTTATTTTGATTACTGTAATTTAACATTTTATACAAATTTCACATAAAAGCTAAATGTTCTTTGATTATTCTTTTACAATTTATAGTTCTGAGCTATCTCTTAGAAACAAATATGTCCTTTTTACCCTGGTAGGAAGTTAGTATATATATCACAGCTTAATAAACCACATGGAAGGAGGCAGTAACAAGAAGCTGACACCCCCATGGTTCATGGGGCGAGTAGCTGGTAATAAAATGTCAGGGTCATTGTTTTGGTCATTTACATATATGCCCTGTCATGTAAATGATTATATGTATGCATTATATTATTCATAATTTATGAATGCTTTTTCTACTTCAACGGGAAGTCATTCCTTTGACTCAAACAGGTAGACGTAAGAGTTCACAACAGAAGTTTCTCAGTAACACAGGCACAATTTCTAGGAACCTCCATCCTTGTTGGCGTCGTCTCCGAGCTCCTGTCCTGCCCTCACTGTTGCACTGTTCGGCCTCAGGAGCCCCGCTCTGGGGATGCTGGGGGGTTGCAAACGTGATTTTGTGGTCACCTCTCGTATTCTGAAGTGACCTAAGGGAGAGGGTAAGGGGAAGCCTGTTACAGCATCAGATGACAGCAGCCAGCCGATGGCACTCCCTGCTGGGTTACAGAGTTAGGGGAAGTGAGGTGGGACCCTTTCTGTCTGTCCAAGGGCTTTTTATTTTTCTAATTCTCAGTTTGTTAAAACCAAATGCCCTTACATGGAAATCAGGAGGGAGCAGCTTTTAGGAGAGTAACATGTTACTTTAAAATTAGATCAAAGTGAGTAGAGGTCGAAATTGTTTAGAAGTGAGCCAGTGTACGGGAATGAAGTAGGAAGCCCTTAGAAACTTGAGCCTTATCCAGAGGTACTGCTGTATCCCAGCTGGTCCTTGGTGACCTGGTCACGCGCGGCTCTAGTTGCTCTCGCCACTGAAGGTTGCTTGGATCTCTTAGTCCAGAGCCGTGAGGTATTATCCTTGTAAATGAACTGCTCTGACAGTGGGTGCTGCAGAGTCAGAGTGCCGTGTTACTGTTGGCTGGGGACTGCCCTGTCCTCTACTGCCACCTGGATATGAACCCCTGTCCTGGACCCATGGCCTGTGCTGTATCCCCCAGCCTGGCTACTGGCTAGCTGTAAATGTCACCTCTCCAGAAACACAGGTGCTTTTCAAGAGGTACTTTTGGTAGAGCATTAATATCAAAATGTTTAGTCCTCTTCATCCGGCTGTTCTACTCATTCTTTAGTTCTTAGCTTCATCTTTGCTCCAAGGCTGTCTTGCTCTCCCCCTCGCCAGCGCTGGTGCTCCTCTGTTGCTGTCCCAGGCCCCCAGCCCACCGTGTCGTCTTGTCCCCAGCTAGGCTGTTGTATCCTGAGAGCTGGAGTGGGATCTGTCACCTTTAGAGCCACACTGTATAGCACAGTTTTATACCTGGTGGGAACTCAGTAGATACTTGAGAAATAAATGTTTTGGTGGGAGTTTCAAGGGCTGTGTTAGGCCAGTGAGTTATATATTTCAGTTTCTTGAAAAGTCTTCAAAAAGACCTTGAGACAATTTTAAAAAAGATATATTAGGAACAGTTGTGTGTATGTACATGTGCATCTGAGTGTGTTTGAATGAGAAAACTGATGGCAAAACAAACACGCTAACAGAGTTGGAAGTAGTGGAAATGGAGGTGGACATACACATCATAAGGGTATATGACATATTTGACTTCAGGTGTTCTAATTGCACATCACAGTCAGGAGGAATTTTTTCCTGTGTTTTTGGTAGGCAGGTATTTTAGTGTCCCTCGGTCCATATCTAGCAGACAGTTTCTTATTCTTTTACATAGATTTTCGATTCTCAGATTGTCACTTTTCCAGACTTGCGTCACCCTTGGGTGAGCCTGTTAAAACCAAGTTGCATCACATTGTCCTCTGTTGGCCGTGGTGGGTCTTCACTGCAGCTCGTAGGGGCTTCTCTGCCTAGTTGTGCACGTGACTTCTCTGGCTGTGGCACGTGGGCCTCTAGTTGTGGTGCGCAGGCTCAGCATTTGCCGCACATGGGCTCTTTGGTTATGGTGAGCAGCTTAGTTGCCCCTCAGCATGTGGGATCTTAGTTCGCCACCAGGGATCGAACCCGAGTCCCTTGCTTTGGCAGACGGGTTCTTAACCACTGAGCCAGCAAAGTCCCGATTGCTCTTCTGTCCACAATCCAACTAGTGATTCTCCATCCCCCTAAGCCACAGGCCCAGATCCTGACCTCAGTCTGCAGGGCCTGTGTACACAGGCGCCTCTCCTGTTTCTGCTGTCTCATTTCATGCCACTCTGCCCTCTGCCTTCTCTGCTCAGCCATCAAGGCCTGCTTGCTGCCTCTTGACCGTGCCTGGCCTTTGCTCACAGGCTTGCTGTTCTTTTTGCCTGAAGTGCCCTTTCTCCTAGATCGTCGATGTCACCCCCTCCCACTCTTTTCAGGTCTTTCCTTCAGTGTTGCTGTATCTGAGTGGCCTCCCCCACCACCCTGGATCCACAGGAATCTCTTGTCCCAGGAACTAGTGGTCCTCCTGGGATGCTTTGTTTCTTTTTGTCTTTTTTTGATTTAGATCATTTTTAAAGTCTTCCTTGAACTTGTTACAATATTGCTTCTGCTTTATGTTTTGTTTTTTTTGTGTTTTTTTTTTTTTTTGGCCTGTGGGATCTTAACTCCCTGGCCAGGGATCAAACTCAGCCCCTGCATTGCAAGGCGAAAATCTCAACCTCTGAACTGCCGGGGAGTCCCTGTGTTTCTTCGTATCACCTCTTGTCACTACCTCTTGACATATTACACATTTTTTTCTCATCTTTTTTCCTCCTATTAGAATATAAGTTCCATGATGGTGAGGACTTCCCCCACTTCTTCCTTTATGATATCCCAGTGCCTCAAATAGCAGTATCTGGCACATTCTAGCCATTTAATAAATACCTAATGGAATGGATCGCTTGACTGAGTAAGTTTAGTGAACAGCTTTGCTGTTGATCTCTGAATGGCTGTGTAAGTCAGTGTTGACCTAACTGAGTGTTCCTTCCCCTCCACAGCACAATGGTCAGCTCCGTCCCGGGAAGCACGTATCCCAGCCCGGCTTCAGTGTATAGTCCTCCCCCTGCCGCCACAGCTGCTCCCGACGTCACCATCTACCAGAACGCAGGGACCAGCCTGTCCCAGGTGCCGAACTATACGTTACCGTCCACAGTGCCCCAGCCTGGGGGCAGCCAGCAGCCACCTCAGCCGCAGCAGCCATACTCCCAGAAGGCTCTGCTATAGGACTGGAGTCCCCTTTGTGGCAAATACCCGCCGATCGCCAATGGCAATGTTACGAGATCCTTTAATATCTTAAGATTGGTTCACCCTCAGCTTATAGGAATCGTATCTTGGTCAACACGTTCCAATGTTCAAGAAGGGAGATCCCTCTTCAATTTGCACTGACTTTTTAGAGGGTCTCCCCTCCCCTCCCCTGTGAGGAATGAAACTACTTACAACGTGTAATTCCTTTCATAATATGAAAGGATCAATGCAAGATTATCTGTCTCGTAAAACCACCTGGCCTGCAAAGAGTCAAACTTAGCAACACTGTTGTGGCAAACGTTGTGTACATAGGTTGCTGTGTAACTTCACTACTGGCCATTTTGAATCACGAGTGGTGATCATGTGAATATATTTAACACTGTTAAATTAATTGACCTTGCTATTTTATTTTAATCATGAACAGCTACCATGTTTCATAATGTTTTGTGTAAATTGAAGATAATTACACTATCGTTTTAAACTGCAAGAGAACAAAACTGTAGCATATGTACATGAAGGTGTTATGTTGTCCCCGTTTCAGTTTCCCATTCAACTGAACCTTCCTGGGAGTAATTGGGAGCTGAACGCACATATGTTATGTCATTCTGTAGCCTCTGCATACTACTAGCTGTCATCACACCAGCGTACAGTAGCTAAATTTTTGGTGCATTTCTAGCAAATGATGATGTTCCCCTTGAAACTTTGACATTTTGGCATGATATATCAGAATACTGTGGGACCATGAGACAAAAATCAAGTCGGACTGCATTCTTTTATACCTTAACTTTTAAAGAGATAATGTCGATTTACTTTTTCCTAGTCGAAGATAGTAATTAGGTTTTTAAGCTGTATACTGTGTTTATTGGTGGCAGTGACACCAAAGATAGAGGCAAAGGATAGAAGCTTTTAAACTGGAAAAAGAACATGAATTACACTACAATTTCAGTCTCTTGTAATTATTTGGGCTACGGTGAAATTCAATTCATCTGTCTTATTCCACTGCTAGTCTTTTAAATATGTCTTTAACACATTGTATCCTTTAATTCTTCATTAAAATGAGTGTAAGTAGACGTTTCAAAGTCATCTAGATTCCTGGCTTTGCTTAACAGTTTGTATATTTATTCTTGTCTTTGAAATTGGATTTATAGGCTGTTTTCTCTCTCTCCTCTCTTTTAAAGTTCCCGAATGGAATTATTTTGGCTTCTTATTCAGAAGCAGTTTTAAATGAATGCTTTTTCTTTTAATCGATATGAAATATGTTTTCTGCTGATATTTTAATCTCCTTAAATATTTATAATTTCCCAAGTTGTGCTGTTATTTAACACTATTATTGAAACAACTGAAGAATTGAGTACCATAGTAAATGAACTGATTTATTAACAGGTTTCACACCATAAATGAAGATTTAATTTGTATTTTCTGAGACTATTGTGATCAGGTACTTGCTTTCCCTTTTGACACCATGATTCTACCTTTGACAAGGTAGGTTCAAATTTACATCACCCTAATTTGTGTTTTCCTAAGTTTAGAGTACTTTGCCCTCAAACAGTAATTTTAAAATTCGAAATCAAACTTTACATTAAAATTTTTAATATGTTGTTTTTTGCTAAACATTGTCAAAAGATTGTAATATTTTTCATTGCCATTGAATAGTTTAAGTGATACACTTTGTCTCAATACATACTGTAGTTTTCTCTGTCTTTTGATAAATTCCCCAATACCAATGGCAAAATGTATCATTGTCCCATTTTGTTTTGATACGCTTCATGCTGTAAAATCAATGACATATTTTCTAGTATGTGTTTTGCCTTGTAAAAGTCAAAGAATGGTGAAATGAAAAAAGGCTATCCTTATTATAATGCATGTGTAAGTTTCTTTACCTAGTAATATTACTAGGCTTTTATAAAGATTTAAATGATGAATACTTAAAAATACTTAAAACTAGTACTATATTATAAGCTTGCAGGTTTCTTTTACTAGGCTTCCCTGGTGGCTCAGTGGTAGAGAATCTGCCTGTAGTGCAGGAGATGCTGGTTTGATCCCTGGGTTGGGGAGATCCCCTGGAGAAGGAAATGGCAACTCACTCCAGTTTTCTTGCCTGGGAAATCCCATGGATAGAGGATCCTGGCGGGTTATGATAGTCCATGGAGTCACAAAAGAGCTGTAGATGACTTAGCAATTAAACAGCTTTCACTTACTAGGTATGAAAATACCAGATGGAAAAAATTCCACTGAAAAGAAAGCACTGGATTTTCCATCTTTCAGGTGACAGGGCAAGGATAGAAATAGGAGAGGACTAATTAGGAGCACAGTGATTTTGTTCTGCAACCAGAGTATGTGCTGCACCTTTGTAACATTTTTCTTTAACAGGTAGCTGTCCCCTTTTAAAGGGAATTGAATTATTTATAAAATAAATTAGCTATAATAAGAATTTCTGGGAAGCAAATTTTACTTCTCAGTAAAACTTTTTTTTGCTTTTGTAAAGTAAAAGTAAAAAGTTTTTTTTACTTTTATAAAGTTTTATAAAGTTTGTGTATCCTTAAGCCAGTGACATCTGAATGGAAAAATTCTGCCCAGTTACTGTCTAGCAAGAGTAGCCAACAAACCCCATGGTCAGTCGGATGGCTAATACATCAGTGTCTTAAACCTACCTACTAGTAATAATACATAGTGCGTCCTTCCCCTGATTTCCCCTAACTCCGTGGTCCTCCTTTGCTGTTCCTGTCTCTCCTACTCATGAGGAAACTTTTTCTGTGCCAGAGATTTTCTTCACTGTATTAAAAACTTCTGAAAGTTTGTCTCTATACCTCTTAATTTATGTAATTAAAATGCTTAGTAGACCCCTAGTGTTCTTTTCTCGTAGTTTTCATAAATGACACATGTATAATTCAGCATGAAACTTACCTTTAGTCCCAGGCTTCAAGTTTATAAAAGATAAATTAGTGTCCTATCTGATAAACTCTGCAACTGCAAAAACTATAGTTATTTTCTAAATTGAGGTCCATTGGTATAATTCGTCAAATTTTCATTTAAGACATTAAAATCACTGTTTTCTTTTTCTCATCTTACCAGTTAGCAATTATAGAGTGTTGTTGTATCATTCTTTATTTAATAGCAAAATCATATAATTTTCTAATTTAAAAGAAGTTTTCCATTGTCAATGAATCTTTGTACCCTTTAGAATAAAGTAGAAACTTAACTATTTCTCAAAGACCTTATGTTCAGTTATCTTTTATTTTAGAATCATTCTTGTCAAAACCTAGATTATTTTATTTTTTTTAAAGATTTTTTTTTGAGGTGAACCATTTTTAAAGTCTTTAATGAGTTTGTTACAATATTGTTTCTGTTTTGTATTTTGTTTTTTATGAGCATGAGGCATGTGGAATCTTAGCTCCTTGACCAGGGATCGAACCTGCACCCCTGCTTTGGAAGTTGAAGTCTTAACCACTGGACCACCAGGGAAGTCCCTAGATTATTTTCTGTGCTATTTATGATTACAGCCCCTGTTTCTAATCAAAGCTTCCTTGAATTTTATGCCCTCTTTTTTTAATATGGTCTTCCTTTGAGATTATTTTTCCCTCCTGATTTTTCTTGCTTCAGAAATATTTTTTCCATACAGATTTCTTTATTGAACAAAGCCCAATTCTTTATTGGTGATAACTTGTGGTCATACTGTTCTTTGCTGGTTTTCTGACTCCTAGCTTTATGTTAATACTTGCCATTGCCATTATTCTCCGTTTCCTGTTTCTTTTCCAGTCAGAGTTTCTGATAAGGATTACATATTAAGTGTCAGTAAGCTCCTGCATAAACATGAAAGGAACTGGTTCTAATATCTTTTGGTGTTCATAGGCTTAAGAAAGTTATGTGTATTTTAGAAAAGAGTATATTCAAATTTTTTTATCTGATGCCATCAGTAACAAATATTTTTGAGTTTATGGCCTCAAAATATGTGTATTTACAAATGGTACAAATTCTACTGTAGTAATATGTGTAGTATATTATGAAACCCAAGAAATCTTACAAGGATAAGAGTAAAATTTATTAATAGAAATTCTAATATTTTTTCACTTATCTCTGGTTCATTAGTCGGTACTCTGGAATGTATCTGCCTGATTAGGAGACCACTGATTTAGAGGTTACGATTAGACAGAGGGGAAGTACTGTGTTACTAGGTAGGCCCTTTGAAGTCAGCATCTGAAACTACAAGTGATGCTTTTCCCAGCCACTCTCTATGTTGAGAATTTTCAGAGTTATAAAAAGATTGAAGTAATATATTGAATACCTGAGTACTCTCACCTTGTTTCATGAATCATTAACATTTTGTTAATGATACTTTATTGTGTGAATAGGCAAAGTTAGACTTTGCACTAAACTATATACCTAAGCATTTCATCATGTATTTTGTTAAAGATAAATACCTCTTCCTTCATAATCTAAAACTTTATCTAAGAAAATTAAGAAAATTAACATCTAAGAAAATTAACAGTAATTCTGTAATATAATTATTACCAAACATCCCTAATAATCCCTGTTTTTTAGGTACAGTTTTTTTAAATTCCAGGAAATAGATCACATTTTTAATGTCCCTTAAATAGATCACATTTTTAATGTCCCTTTATTCTCTATGAATCTGGATTAATCTCTTCTTTTTTCCTCCATGATTTTTTCCCTTTTAAAGATCAAACCTGTTGTCTTTTACTGTGTCCCACATTCTGGGTTTATCTCTCTCTTTTTTTTAATGTTAATTATTATTTATTATTTGATGCTCTATTCTCATTATAGTCCTCTTTTTTCTTAATTAACCCTTCAAAAGTTAGTCAGAATTATGTGATATATGGTTAAAGGTGGTGAATCTAAAGTGTTCAATCTCATATCAGAGAAGTGTATATATAAATGAACATTTTGAGCCTTCAGATGTGGTTTTTCTGTATAAATAGAGGCTGTGTGCTCAGGCCACTGATGCTTAGTACAGTTTTGTG